TTGCCCGCCTTCACATGTGCCTTTATCGTCTCGAAGTGACGGTCAAGAATCAGTCCTCGTTGTTTCAACTCCGAGAGTTTGCCAAGGTCCTTCAACAACCCATGGGATAAGGGGTTGGACAGGGACATGATCCCCCTGCACGGCAAGCAACTCGTGGTACGCTGCACCACGTTGCGTGGTAAATTAAAAAAACTCGCTGGGGGCACGACGTGTATGTATGTACAGCAGACCCCCACCTAAAAATAAAAACTTAAAAGGATAGTCTAGGTAGGTACCAACTACCAAACCTGGGAACGCTCCCCCCCCCCCCCCCTCCTCCATCTGTGTATGTTCTTCTCTCGCCACCGCCGCGTCATTAGTATGTTCTTATTTGTAGCACCAGTCGTACACCTCACTGGAGGTTCTTATTCTTGACAGCAGGTCCGACCTGAGCACGTGTTCTTACGGGCAAATTCTTAAAAATTGGATTTTTTGAGGCTCGAATTCTTAACGTCCATATTCCTAAGTGCGGGCCGGTTCTGTACTCAGTCAGCGCTGACTCAGGTAAGCCTTTATCTATCAAAAGATACACTCTCGGCTCGTAGAATTCCGGGCTGTGAGTAGAGATCTCCGGGGACCCCTCGCCAGGCGCTGCCGAGGACAGAACTATGGTGCTTTTCGTAAAGTGATCAGCCCGGGATTCGAACCTGTGCGTGTATCCTTTGACAGATTAAGGCTTACACATTAGACTACTACCTTTGATAGATAGAGCCCTACCCATTAGACTACTTAGATAAAGGCTTATTACCCGATAAGCCTTTATACACGCACAGGTTCGAATCCCGGGCTGATCACTTTACGAAAAGCACCATAGTTAGTTCTGTTCTCGGCAGCGCCTGGCGAGGGGTCCGTCCCCGGAGATCTCTACTCACAGCCCGGGATTCTACGAGCCGAGAGTGTATCTTTAGTTAGATAAAGGCTTACCCATAAGGCTACTCAGTCAGCGCTGACTGAGTAGTCTAATGGGTAATCCTTTACTATCATAGGTGAGGAGGACCTATTATTACTCGTTTTGGGCGCATATTGGGTGGTGAAATGGCGCGCGTTCCAAGAGCTCGTCGCGCCGACACAGCTAGATGGCATGAGGTACGACTTCATGGAGGTGCTTGGTGGGTTCGACTTCAAGGAACTGTTGAGGTTCGAGAAGCCCCACTTCCGTCGGCTTTTGGCGGCGCTGGAGCTTCCACCCAAGTTCGTGATTTCGAGGTGAGATGGCACGCTGCGGCATGAAATCTCATGCCTCTGGTCCTCTTGGTTCAGCAGTAGACTAGTCTAGTGCCGCACACAAGCGAACGACCGTGCTGCAGTGGATCCCTCGGGAATATTGAGGCTTGTAAATGCTGCTAAGGCGTGTTGTTGCATATGCAGGCTAAAGGTTGGGGCAATGCGTGTGGTGTCGATTCGCAGCGACTCTCTTCTGGATGTAGTCCCATCACTCCGGATTTTTTTTCAATTTGAAGATGTCCGCCTCTCTCTGTCGGTTTAGGCGACTACTACAGCTGTTGCGGCCACCAAAAAGAGGTTCAGGTTTAGGGGTAGGAGAAGGAGGTGTAAAAGCGATAATTCTCCGGGGTGACTCACGCTTGTGCCTGTCCCACGACCCGCTCTTGGAGGAAACAACATTGAAACGCCATTGTGTGCTTTAGTGTTGCTGTGAAACGCCGTTGGGTTACCCTGCTTATGTTGCTTCTCTCCGCCGAGGTGTCCCCCAACCTCTCCACAACCCCAACTCCCTGTTCCCGTGTTGTGTTTATGATCTCGCCTCGNGAAACGCCATTGTGTGCTTTAGTGTTCCTGTGAAACGCCGTTGGGTTACCCTGCTTATGTTGCTTCTCTCCGCCGAGGTGTCCCCCAACCTCTCCACAACCCCGACTCCCTGTTCCCGTGTTGTGTTTATGATCTGGCCTCGTATTTGTGGCTGGGCAAGGGGGGGAGAGGAGTGCTAAGAATTCCGGCACGTCTGTGTTTGGCAGTCACTCTGTGGAGATTTTCTGCGCCGACGACGTTGCTACGCGATCGCCTGTTCTGGGGCATGGGGGAGACACTCGTATGCGAGGTGTTCAATGTCACCATTGAGGCAATATACGATCGATGGGGACACCTTGTGCGGGATTTGCAGGTCGATGCTATTCTTCCTATGATAGGCGACTTCTGTGAAGCAATATCTAGCCACGGCTCGCCCCTTCCACGCTGTTGGGGCTTCCTCGATGGCACAATTCGAAAAATCTGCCGTCCTGGTCGTTGGCAACGTATGTACTATAATGGATGGAAACGTCCCCATGCCCTCAAGTATCAGGCAGTAGATTCTCCGGACGGTATCATTCGCCAGCTTTGGGGTCCTGCCCTCGGTCGCCGCCACGATGTAGCGCTACTAGGGGAGAGCGACCTCCTGCTTACTGTGTTGATGCAATCGTTCAATGATGCGCAGGGAGAGCCGTACTACCTGTACGGTGATCCGGCGTACCAGAACTCGCCGTGGTTGATGTCGCCATATCGGGGTTTGTTGACCCCTGAGGAAGCTGGCTTCAATTCCGCCATGAGCAGTGTTAGGGTTACGGTGGAATGGGGGTTCGGTCGAGTCGTCGCCCAGTGGCCCTACGTAGACTACCACAAGAAGCAGCAGGTCGGTCTAAGCGCGTGTGGCCTCGGCAAGCAGTATTCTGTCGCCGGCATTCTCACCAATTGCCATTGCTGCTTCTACCCAAATTCGACGGCACAGTACTTTGACCTCCAACCCCCGTCCCTCGAGGAATACCTACAGGGAGAGGGCTAAGTCGGACGTACTCGAAATAGGAATCGACGTTGGGACGGGGTAGTCACACGCTCGCGCTATTTGGTATGAAGTAGGGGTGCCGTGTTGAGGTTAGATAACGACGCATATGAGGTGCTCCGAGGAACTGTCGGCGCCAGGAGCAGGAGATCAACGCAAGGGAGGGAGATGGGTCGGGTGTGCGGCATGAAAAGAGGCAGCATGCTTCGTACATAAATCTTTTTTATGTATCGTCGCGTGCTTACTCTTCGGCCGTCGTTGCATATGACTACGAACTTCGTGCGTGCTAGGTCTGCTTCAGCCCTCGCACATAATGAGGGGTTCATGGGAGGCACGACGTGCCGCCCTCGTATCACTAACTGTATGACACGAATGTACTGATGATTTTTTCTTCCCTTTTTTTTTGAAATTATTTCAGTCTGCTTTCGATAGTTTCCCCTAATTAAACGGCCGATTTCCTCTACATCGCACTATATTTCTTGGCTGTGCTTGAGAGGTAGGTAAACCTCATCGCTTTGGTCACGAGGAATACGTTATACTTTCGTGGTTAGAGGTCACGGTTGGAACCGCTTTGAATCGACAAAGGGGCAGCAAACGTGGAACTGAAGCCACCAAAGTGTAAAGTACATCTAACCACCAAAGGACTCGCAATGGGGTGGGGTTACACCAATCAGACGACACCTCGTACGTACGATTCCCGCGATAGCAGCCCAGGCTGCGCACCCACACGACATGCTTGGACCAGGTACGAAGAGTTATGCAAAATATCCCAAAAACAGCACAGGAGAAAGTCAAATCAAGCGGAGCGGAAGAGGTTCACTACCCACTGCTTCACGCACGTCGTATACCTGCCCCCCTTCACCCACCACACATCAAAACGGTTGGACAGTCACAAAGTACTATGTGGAGAAGGCGTGAACAAGAACAACCCAACACATAAAGAGGGTATAGCAAGCCGCTACGCCCGTTCATTCTGTGCGTGGCCACCGCCGAAGTCGGCCAAGACTTTGGCCGTGGAAATATCAATAACTCCCCGCCGCCACAAACATCCCCACACGCTTTCAAGACAAGAAAAATGGCAGCAGACCCACACACAACGCCACCCATGACGATGAGTTCGCTCCAAACATGCAAGCCCCCCATGGAAATATGAACTATTCTCCCCACCCCCACAAAAAAAACACACAAACACGAAAAAATACAAAAAAAACATGTAAGACAAGAAAAAAGGCAGCAAACCCACATACAACGCCACCCCCTCCGACGGGTTCGCTCGAAGCATGCAAGCCGCACACGGAAATATGATGAATCCCCCCCCCCCCCAAAAGAAAACACTAGAGACAAAAAAAAGGCAGCAGACCCACACACATCGCCACCCATGCCGATGATTTCGCTCCGAACATGCAAGCCCCCCATGGAAATATGAACTATTCCCCCAACCCCCACAAAAAAAACACACACACACACGAAAAAAACAAAACAAAACAAGAAAACATGTAAGACAAGAAAAAGGCAGCAAACCCGCAGACAACGCCCCCCCTCCGACGGGTTCGCTCGAAACATGCAAGCCGCCCACGGAAACATGAGGAACCCCCCCCCGCCAAAAGAAAAGAAAACATCAGAGACAAAAAAAAAGGTAGCAGACCCACACACAACGCCACCCCAAGGATGAGTTCGCTCCCCCCACCCCCAAAAAAACACACACACACAGAAAAAAGAAAAGGCAGCAAACCCATACACAGTGCAACCGCTGCGATGGGTTCGCTAGAAATATGCAAGCCGCCCCCGGGACAGGTGGACAACGGTTCACCAAGTACGTGAACAGCAAACAGCACGAACACAACTCGTTAAGATGGTATGAGAACCCAAGACACGCGGCTACCTTCTTGGACTCTCCATTCGTTGAACGCCACCGGCCAAACGTGTCGGAACCCATATCTTCAACCAGTCGACGCCATCAACACCCACACGCCGACATGGAGAGAGGTCACACGCACGAACCTCCAATGAACAGAAAAAAAAGTGAACGAGGCGAACCAAAAGCAACCAAATCACCGCCCGGTGGTTGTCGTCCCGCATCACCGCCCGGTATTACCAAAGAGAGTGGAAGGTCGACATCTTTGAAATTGGTACGGCCCGGGGTTTACATTACCTCTCACTATTCCCCCTTGAGCGCCCAGGCCGAACCTGAAACACGTCGGCCGCGCGGTGGCGGGATGACTGAGTGGGAGCGGCATACCCACCCACCGACCTCCCGTCTGTGCCTCCCCGTGAAAGTGTGCCGCCGCCCCCCATGCCGCTGTTGTTGCGGCCGGTGGAAGTGGTTCCCCCTCCCGGTCGGCTGATGAGCTCGAAGAAGTTGCACTGTTGGTTCCTGTCCGCCTTGGCACACATCCAGGATATGGTCCCGTTCGCGGCACCGTCCTGTGTCGCGCGATCCGGGGCAGGTGGTATAGATGGGCATGTGTGGGTTATGATTGGCATGTGCGAAGGTGTCAAGCAAAATCGCACCAAGATCAAACGCTGTCAGCGAACTCAAGGCTAGGATCAACGAAAGGAGACAACCTTACAAGCCGGGTACGTTTGAAAAACAAACATCTACTTACCGCTGTGACGGGTCCTACTCGTCGAGCCGCTTGACCGCATTGACAGTTAGGTGGCCTGGTCGACGGCGCCGATGGTGGGGGATCCGCCCCGCTGACACCCGGGAGAGAGCTGCTCGCACCCCCGCGGACCTCTTGCGCCTCTGAGATCCCTGTCTTTCCCTCCCTTGGCGCCGCGAAGCTATGTCCGTGCGAGGCCCCTCCAGCTGCGCTCATCCCAACCCCACCCTGCGCCATACCCACCGCCGCGCCCCCGCCCCCTGCCGTACCTGGCCACATCGTGCTGTGAACGCCGACGGAGGGCCCTGGCATGCCGGCAGGAGCAACGCCTGACGCAGCCCAATGGGCGGGTGGGAAAGCGCCGGTCGGGGCGTAGAACGGGCTCGGCTGCGGCTGCGGCTGGCGCTGCTGCCATTGCTGTTGGTGCTGCTGCTGCCTCTCTGCCTCGTATTGCCTCATACCTGCTGCGACTGCCGCTGCGACCCGTTCATCCACGATGGCGCAGACCCTGCCCTCCGTCATTGGAGGAGGTCCCTCGCCGTGCCCCCCCGATCCGGCCCTTGCCTTCGAGTGCAGCAAGTCCATGATCTGGTTCAACACGGGGTCTCCGCCCATCCCGCTGGAGAGGGATGTGTTCCTTGGCCTTGTCGCGAGCACGATTAGCCGCCGCCGTATGCTCCTTCTTCGTCTTGTCCTTGGAGGCCTTCTCCACCAGTCCAGCCTCCCAGGCTATGCTCGCCTGCTCCAGCGCTTCGGCCTGGTTTCATGAAAGAGACGAACAAATGTCAACGCCGAAGGAAACTTGATGGCAGTTAGCAAAGACGAAACGACAACGAAGAGCGCGACGAGATACGACTACCAATGGACGTCGAACACCGGGCAACATGTACTGGCCTGACGAACCGTACACACGTAGGCTATACATCAAATACACCCCCCGCCCCCCAAAAAATAGAGAACGCTCTGCACCTGAAACCACAAAGAAATGCAAAGAGCTGGAGGTGTGCGTCAAGATGCATAACCCCATGAGAGACGCATGGACCCATGCACAACATCGAGACCGACAGGGACAGAAGTTCAACAGATGCTCCTGATTCGAATTTTCCTTCTTTTTTTTCTTTATTTCTCTCTTTTTTTTTATGAGGGGCGGGGATGAATGCGCACTAACCCTTTTCGAAAAGGCGGGGGCCTGATTTGGTCGTGGTAGTCAAATACTGGACGGTTCCTGGAGTCTCCTTGGAAGGCAAACTCAATGACCATATTCAAAGGCGAACAATAATGTGACAGCCTGAGGTTCCCCGGGACGGAGGGGATGGAGATTCGGATCTCACTGGAGGAAGCACGCACGTGTCGGACATGGAACCTCCACCGCAAAACTAACCATGGGTGTCTCCTGTCGTACATTGCAACCTCACCTCCGTTCCCTCGTCATCGCCATCGTCACCCTCGCCGGTGAGACTCTTCTTCTTCTCCTGCCTCTTGTTCCATGCCGTTCGGTGAGCGCTGAAGATGCTACGCAGCTTTTCCACGATGACCTCCCGCGACAGTCCCTGTGACATCGGTGCGAACGGGAAAAATCAAGGGGGGCGAGTCTCTCGAACGACAATGCTATCGTTACTATATCATGTCCGCCACGGCTAACCGAACACTGTCTGAGGTACACGGGGTGGGGGAGCTCTTATCTCTCATAACCCAGCGTTTTCGTGCAAATACTTCGGCGATATGTAGGAACAACAGTAAGTAGTGTCGTTAGGCGGCATTGTGAAATGGGCGCCGTTTGTGCGACTAGACGACAACGGGTTCACACACAGCTACATTTCAAATTTGTTAGGTGATGGGTTGTTTCGCAACCGTTTTCATAAATTCTGCATTCGTTCCTGGCACGGAGGCCTTCTTCTTTACAGCCCACCCTCTTCAATACATACCTTCTGCCACCGCCCCCGCCCCCCACAACGCTTTATTTGGCTTCATAGGTACCGTCAACAAAAAAAGGGTAAAACTTGTCATTGTCTCGGATGCTAAAGAATTATCCTACTCGCCGCATACGTGATCCTAAGCAAGTCCTAAGTTGGGCGAGTTAAGCTTGATGAAGATCGAACCGCAATCCGAAATACAAGAATAATACCCGCAGCGTCTACCCACCCCCATCTTCCTTCCCATGTCGACTGTGACCTTCTTCGTGACGAGTTCCAGGTTGCCGTCCTTTTGCACTTCCTTGACCCGTATTTGTCCTCTCGACCTTCTTGGAGAGGGCCTGTGCGCATTTCCACCACTCCTCATCCTTAGCCTTCTTGGCCGAGTGCTTGGACGCTAAGTGTTTCGGTATGAGCCGCCACAGAAGCTCCCTCTCTCCCTGCTGAGTCCACCACCGCGGGCCTGTCTCTGATCAGGAATGCAAGGCAAACGAGAGTTGGGGTACAAGAGTTAGGGTGATGGACGTCGTACATTAGCCACGACTTGAAGGGGTTGGGTCGCCACTCACTTCACGGGAGGCGCCCCACCGAAGTACAGCACTGCTCTGTAATTTGTCTTGTACAGAAGATGGCATTGCGGATCCCACATCCTGCATTCGATTCGAAGCTAACGTTTGCAAACAATTAATTGAAGTTTTCAGGCTGTTTTCTGCATTTTTTTTCTGCGGCATGCTGCATGCATATCTCAACCATTGCCGCCGCGAAGAAAACACAGTCAGTCAAGCACACGTACTACAAACTTATTGGGAAACGGACACGACGTATGCCACAAGTGTACATGGTTGAGGGAACATCACGATGTGCAGGTGCCTAATGACGTACAGGATCCAAAACTTACACCCTTTTTCACAGAGGGCGCATGAAAACAGAAATACGTGTGAACACATTTTCAGTCCTCTCACAATTCCACTCAGAAGGGCGCACAATCATAGTCACGACTGCATCCTTCGAGCACACACCTTTGCTAGATTTTTTAACCTCAGGCCCAGCATTTCTCCTCTCCGGCTCCTTCCCCTTGCCGCCTCCGCCCTCACTACTACCCCCGGTGCCCGGCGAGGACTCTCCCTCCGCCTCATCACTGTCGCCGCTGCCTTGGCTTGAGCTGACGAGAAGCGGTGACCCAAAAGAACCGCCGCCGCCGCCGCCGCCGTCCTTGCCGCCGGCAGCACGGCTGAAACGCTGGGGAACAGGCTTAACGTACTTCGTCTCGTACCCCTCGTCCTCGGGTGCACTCGTTAGCTTCGGGGTGCGCGGTAGCGTCCTGCGGCTAGCTGATGACGCGACACCCCCGGTCTGCGGGGAGTTGAGACCACTCGCAGGTGACGAGGTAGGCGATAAGCTCGCAACATCTACTTTCGTACCCCGGCGGTCGCGGATTCGAGGCGACGAACGCTGCGGCTGACGCACCCTCGGCTTCCCCGGGGTGGTGTGGACACTGAGCATGTCCGGGTTCGAGTCCGTCTCGTACAAGAGAGTCGAGTTGTTATCCGTGCTCAGGTGAGTCAAGTCTAACACGCCGTCGCTGTTGTCGCCCATGCAACCAGAAAGAACTCCGTGACCGCCACACTTGGCGTGCCCGCGAAAGCTGAATCAGCAAAACACAGCGCCCGCCTCGCTCTAGACGCGTACGCGGCGCGGCGCAGGGTTCCTGCGCCGCCGCGAGCACGAGTACTCTGTACTCACAACCAAAGCACTCCTTGTGATACGCGCTTTGATCTCGGTTCAATCAAGAGGACGTGACGACTTCCAGGTGCAAAAAACACCACTTCTCCAGAAGAAATCACTCTCCTACCGGAACCCACCGAATGACACGTCCACACCCACTGATGCACAAGACTCCCAGCTGCCTCGCCACTGGGTGTTGCGCGCAACTGCTGTAGGAACGACTCGATCTCGCTATGTACCGCTTCGCCTCCGAACACGGAAAAACTAAACAGGTGAAATACAGATGGGCTTTTTTACCAGCTCTGAAAAAAAAAAACACCAGCTCATTTTCACCTGTTCAGAGCGGCGCAATAGCCGAACTGGTGTGTTTTTGGGCCGGACTGGTGAAAATCGCTGAACTGATCTTTTTTGAGTCAGCGGGGAAACCCAGAAATATAGTCTATATATGTGAATTTGCCAATGAATGTTTCATGCTACAAGAGATATCCCCAGCACCAAAAGGTACTGTAGGTGCACTTTTTTCGGGGTAATGCATTCAGGCGATTGTTTCAAAATCCGGACAGACTATCGGCAAAACAAGCCATGTTTGTTTGTACATGTGCCCCTTGTCGTTCGAATCGACCGCTTTCACCGGATGGCCCATGAAGAAAGGTCAGTCCATCTCCAATGCCACTGAAAACGAAAAATGAACGCCATTATTCGCAGGGACCCCATGAGGGTACCTTATGGAGAAGACTCAGGGCTCGCTGGATTAAGGAAAGGAACGGTTGCAGACGAATCTACAAAAGTTTCTACTTCGTACTCATGTTCGTTACGGCCCACTTTGCATATTGATATGTTATTTGTTGTGAAGTCTATACCTCCTGCATTCGGTGCGCGGAAGGTCAGGTCGCTGAAAACTCTTGTTGTCTTCCATGTCACACCTTCTTCTTCCTCCATCGTCTTGCCAATTGTGTTGGTTTCATCTACTCTGTGACCCGGTTACCCACATTTTGGTGTATTGTATGTCTGGCTTGAGTATTTTTCCAGGGTCGAAGAAGAGAACGGTCACACAGGAGATCCCTGAAGGCTGATACTTCTGTACTTCGAATATTGTAAATTCCCCACTAACGTTTACCTCTTTTACGGTACTCCGTAAACCAACTTCCTCCTGGGGCAAAGAGTGTTTTTCTGCTTGTGTTGTTCGTTCCCTTTCTCTCTGACAATATCAAGCAATATTGTTGGGATGACAACGAGCTTCTTGGGTCGCATCAAATCCCTAAGAAGAAGGGCTGGGTTAGAGTATAGAGAGAGACGCACGCTCTGTTTGCTTGGTATGAGAAACATGTGTGTTTCGTGGAGAAACTACCTAGATACATGGAGACGTATTGGGGAGAGACTGGTACCTATATTGAACAGCGAACAAGTACCGTTGTTTTCTAGTGAGAAGCACGCTACAGTAGGGAGTATTTTCAACACTCATAGGATGGAACGAAGAAAATGTTGCGCGAAATGCCCGTCTCCCCCTTTCTCTCTCTTCCCCTCCTCCCCTTTCTCTCTCTCAAGTCAACAAATCTTGTTGTATTTTCCTAGGGGTGTGCAATCTCCCACACTACTGACACTGTTCCTAAACCGCCCATGGGACACCCATGGGTCACCCATGGGCAGCCCATAGGCACTTCAACCTACGACTTCGCCACCCGCGTATCAACCTAGGCAGAACTTAGCCACCTTCACATCAACCTAGAACTTAGCCACCAGCGCGAACCTAGCACGTATCGTGTGGGCTTGGGGCTAGGGTTACGGTTAGCGTTAGGGTTATAGTCGCTGTAGTGCCCGTTCCAAAGCAGATACTCAATTGTCTAGGAGTACCCTGGTTCGGTTGAAGGGCTCTATTTGGCCGCCCTTGAGCTTCACATGGGTTGCCCATGGGTCGCCCATGTGCTGTGCACGAGATATCCATGGGCATGCCCATGCCCATGGGTGTCCCATGAGATATTTTGGAAAACTGTAGAAAGCGTGGGAGACCCGGGGAGTGTGTCGTGTGCAGGGTGTATATCAGGGCCGGGTAGAGACGCAGGGAGGCAGAAACATATGGAAGAGGAATACTGCAACTATTGTGGAGAGAATGTGTCGCTATTGAGTAGCCAACAAGAAGAGTCGATTGTGTTAATGCCTCCGATAACAGAAATAAATACCTGTAAGCAGTATTTCACATATCACTCACAGGATCCAACGAAGTAAAATGTCCCGCCAAATGCAGTTGCCGAATTCTCCCTCCCCCTCCCCTCTCTCCAGGCCCCCCCGCCGGCACCCGTTCTCGACTACCTTTTTCTACGGGAGTTGGGGCGGCAGGTACCTGGCTGAGGGGTATGTCAGCGGGGCGATGTTTTCTTGGAGCTGTCAACAAGCCTTCGATGTACTTCCTAGGAAATTGGAGAGAGCGCAGGCCGTACGCCAGGGCCGGGTTGAGACGCTAGGAGGAAAAAATATAGGGAGGACAGAAGCATAGGGAGGAGGAAGATAGTTGACCTCGAAGGGACACGGCATTTCGGGGTACATCTATTTGCTTGTTTCGGATATTTGAGTGTTGACGTACTGCCTGGATATAGATTTGTTTTTGCCGTCGACCACCGATGTATCGCGCTCCAGGCGTTGCTCCAAAGGGCCCGGGACTACAAGGGTTTGCGGCGGTGGGAGTACGCGATTCAGGTGCGTACACACGTGCAAGAGGTTGCTAGGGCGCTCTCGATCGCTCATGGTGCAGGTTGTCGATCTTCAAATTGTTCCGCTTTCCGACATACTATCAAAGTCGCACCTCCTTCAGGTGAATGGTGAATTGTGGTCTCCTTGAATAATGTCCTCACGGAAACGCCCAGAAGGTGGATGTGCGAGCCATAGGTACACTCTCACGATATTTCCCCGTCGTGGGGAATTGCAGTGATCAGCCTTGCCCCTCCACACAATACCTTTGCTCGGACCGAATTTATGCAGGTCCTCCTGCACTACATCAACGACGTGGGTCCCCTCCACCCAACACTTGTCGAGGCAGCTCACGACCTTCACGACTGCCTGCTGCAACAACAGGGGGGGTTCGAGCGGGCGAGGAGGTACGGAAGGGGCGGCAGGCGAGATATGGAGGTGGAAATGATATGTGGTTAGGTTGTTTGCTTATTGGTTGGAGGTATCCTGTTGCTGGGGCCAAGATTGCAGTGCGAGCGGTGAAGTTGTTGTCCAGACCTCTCTCTTTGGCTAACGGCAGCGAAAGCCTGCCTCATTTGGTTTTCGAAATTCAAATATCACTTCGGTATTGGCATACCATCAGGACAGTAATGTCCGCACGGGTAGGGAGAGTACAATGCTCTTGTGATGTGATACACCACAATTTGTTGGTCCTTTGATAACCTTCAATTTTAGCGATCATTTATACGACAGGGTGATCAGAGACCAGGTTGGGCGCCGATTGAAATCGGCTTTAATCCTCGGGTTGGCCTCATAGACAATCCATATGTTAAACGTTCGATCCCCTCCTGCCAGCTTCCTCACCCCAACCCTCACAGGACGTACCTTCACAGCATGTAATCGGTGTCCAACCTTCCCCTGTCGCCAACTAGCGGCCGAGATCGTGGTCGTCGAGATAGGTGAGCTTGAAGCAGCATTGATTCCTGGATGCTGCTGTGCGCTTGGATTTTCGAATGCTTCGAGTACCGTTGCCTTGATATATCTGCAGGGCAAACTCAGGTCGACCCATGAGGATTCGTCCGTGCGGCCAGCGGGGCTGCCGACGGCTGTTTGTTCCTGTCTTTGTCGCTCTTCAAAATACACTTCGTGGCGTATTGCCCTCTGGGAAATTGACGGTGCGATTGTAGGGTCTCCCACACTTTCTACAGTTCTTCTAACCATCAGCCCAACCGGCACCAGTGTACTCCTAAACAATGGATTATCTGCTGTGGAACGGGCACAATAGCACCTAATAAAACCCTAACGCCAACCCCATCGCCAACCCCAACCCCACAAGATTCGTGCTAGGTTGACGCTGGAGGCTACGCTCTAAATAGCTTGATGTGCCGGGGGCCAAGTTTCTAGGTTGATATGCTGGTGGCGAAGTTCTAGTAGGTTGAAGTGCCCACGGTGGGCAATTCATGGGCACTTCATGGGCACTTCATGGGCACTTCATGGGCCACCCATGGGCGACCCACGGGCGGCCCTTGAAGTGCCCATGGGTCACCCATGGGTGACCCACGGGTGTCCCATGGACGGTTTAGCACAACTGTCAGTGGCGTGGAAGATTGATTGCGTTTGTAGCGCCCTATCGCACGTTCTAGAACGCAGGCACCAACTATCCCCGAGAAAAAAACATACGCACGAGCACCCCTAGGCGTTTTAGATACCATTGGCCGCCTAGTGACCGAGACTGAGCCTATTGTGTCGGGTCCGACAAACAAGGACGACACGGACGGTGACACTCGCGGCGCAGGATTCTTCGAACATGCAATGTGAAAAAGAAAGAAATCTAATGTGTCCGACTGCAAAGAACCCTTGCATGTAGAAGAACGTGCCTCCTGTCGGGGCCGAATCCGACGCAGCTGTACAGAACAACTCCGTACGCAACCTCATACAAACCAGGAATCCAGCAGGTTATCTCCCCCACTCATTGCTACAAGACTGTCAACATAGAAAATGATCCCCTTCAACCGCGTCTTTCGGCGATTAATATATTTTTCGACAAACAAATCGTGTTTTGTTCGATACTGAATCAACGTGTTCCGAATAGTCTATACATGTGTAGACATGCGGAAGAACTACAGTAAAGAGTGCGAGGGTGCTACAACACAGACTCCTAAAAATACCGAGCTCTCTCTTGTAGCCCTGCCGAATGCGAACGAACAGCATTTTAAATCAATCTTCGTGGAGAGATTAGCCTTCGTAACTGTCGTCAATCCACTCACTGCAGGTGAATGTTGGGGTCAACGTGTATACGCGGCAACACATGCACTTTTGGGTTCCAGCAAAGGTTGCGATCGCGTGACAGGTTCCTCGACTTTGCATGGGCCGCGGTTTTTTCCGGTCGATGGCTGGTCGAATCTTACACAATAATCTTGGGATGTGCAGACTTGCGGTGGACGCCCGGACCCGTCGCCATTTCGAGATACTTTCTGTCGCTCTTCCTTCGGTAGGTGTTTTGGGATCAGCAGGACCGCTAACCCAACTTCCCCTATCGTATGCTTTATCCAACATCTTTCCTGCACCTGCGAAACCTGCAAAGACTCTCTCGGCTGCCACTACGACCGCGAATCAGTAGACGGGCAAGAAAGCCTCGCACGCGGCCAACGCTTCGACTGACTCCAGTTGTCGCAGGAGCAGCATGTGCCGATATTTCTCCCAGGTTGTTGAACGACACAGTAATGTATCCAGACACGTCTTATGATCCTCGGAACCCGGGAATGTATGTGG